CGGCGAGCCTGCACAAATCCAGATTCGCAATTAGAGCGAATATATCAAAACATGAGCCCAGACTACCGAATCTTTATCAGACGTCGAGATTTTTCAAGCTTAGAGCAATTAAAAATACTTGCTGATGACTTCGAAGAGCTTCGCAGAGAACAGCATAAAGTAAATCGGAGCGGTATACGAGGAGAAACTATGGGCAGGTGCATCGTAGTGGAGTCCCCAGAAACGATGTCATTGCAAAATACTATGAGATGCATACCCACTACACCAATACGGAATAAACTTATCCAGCATCATAAATCAGAGCTACCTATCTTGAACAAGCAACAGAACCGACCGGCGGCAAAGCAAACAACAGCAGTAAGAACTAGAATTACCAGTCCATCAACAGAATTATTACCTAAGCCAAGCATAATAACACAGCAGAAGCAACGTAAAAATTATTTAGAGCAGATGTCATGCAAATGTCTCGTACCATCGCAAGATCCAGGACCAAGCAAAGAAACTCCAGAAGTGTGTGATTTACATCAACAGGAACTCATACAAATGCAAGAGATACAACAGGTGCAAATTGAAGAAATACAGCGAAAACAAAATCCAAAACCTGTCAATAAAACTCCGGAAATACCTAAGCAACAGTCAGTCAGACAAGATCCACGAGTTTTTCCAGTTCAACAACATGTCGAACAACTACAGCACGAACGGCAACGCGAGACGCCAAACAAAAGAAATCTAGAAAGAATTAACCTAGTCCAAGTCATACAAGATAAACCGACGTTTCAAATACCACCACCACAAAAACTCCAACATGTTACAACTACTGAAGAATATACACAAGTGCAAAAGGCACATTCGCAACGAAATCCACCGCTCCAAGAAGAACAACTTAGGAAACCATCGACCAAATTAGTAAGAACCTCGTTTCTTTCCATACCTCAAGATCAAGTACACTCAGAGACGTCGCTAATACCGCAACAGGAAATGCCCGTCAAGCAATCAGATCAATGTCAACAGGAGATTAAAGTCATCGAAAATAAAACTACACAACATCGAATGACTCACAAAACCCCAAGTCCCATTCAAGAATCACAACGAGTTTCACATCAAGGAAAAGATAATTCTACTCAACTGAGAGAAAAAGTAAATATCCCTATGATGCAAATAAAAGAACAATGTCTCAGAAGTTGGAATTCTTCCAGCAATCGAACTCAGCAAAAGCAAATGGAAAGTCAAGGTGAACTCCAGCAGAGCGATCACGACTATATTAACACGCATCAAGACAAGTTTTACAAAGTGTTTAAATCTTCAAAGAAACGAAATAGAAATCACTCAAGCAGGTAGTGGTTCAGATCCAGTTAACTTTCCCGAAGAAGGAGGGAAATGTAAGGATGGAAATTTACACTAAATTTCCACCTACATAAACGCTACATAAACATGCACTAAAAACAATAACAACACGAACTAAAACACATCAACACAACACAGTTTTTTATAAAACGACACACTTTTTATATGGTTATGTTCAAACTTGGAAAAAGTAGACTCACTGGTAATAAATGTTGCAAATATCTGGAATTAAATAGATTAATTAATATTTAAAATATTTAGTCACAACCATTTACCAAAACCCAAACCGCTTACAAGCCTTAATAACATCTCAAACTAAGCTGAAATAATATTAAAATGAAATATAAAAATATAATTAAATAAATTAATAATAAACTCACCTTATTTATTTGTTAATTATATTTCTTGTTTTTATGTTGTAAATATTCATCAAATATTTGCACTTTTAATATTTTATTTATCGTAACAAACAAAGAGTAAATAAAAAAAAAAAAAAAACCACCACCGACCGAATGTAGTTTTAAAACACGTTTTGTAAGAATCAAAACAAAGCAGCGTTAACATAAGAAAACAACAAAATATTCGCCGTAAGAGAAGCTTAAAGAGAAGATAAATACCCAAGCTGAGTACCGCACAAAACATGAAATAGAACATCAGAACGGCAAAAATATACAAGAATTACGTGAGATCAGCTGTAAATAAAATGATACGCTACACAAAAGCTCGGTCGAGTGTGTATATAAGACGCGCATTTTACTTATGCGAGGACTTGCAATATTACTTCAAAGGCACATACACCTTGGAAAATCAAGTCAACTAAGCTCTAGAGGCACAAAGGCATAATAAAGATATTTTATATGGAAAAAATATCCAAATCAAAGTACGACAGGTGGTTTCACGCCGACTGTAACTAAGATAACTATTAAAATTAATAAAGATATTTTATATGGAAAAAATATCCAAATCAAAGTACGACAGGTGGTTTCACGCCGACTGTAACTAAGATAACTATTAAAATTAATAAAGATATTTTATATGAAAAAATATCCAAATCAAAGTACGACAGGTGGTTTCACGCCGACTGTAACTAAGATAACTATTAAAATTAATAAGGATATTTTATATGAAAAAAATATCCAAATCAAGGTACGACAGGTGGTTTCACGCCGACTGTAACCAAGATAAATTCTAAAAATCATAAGGATATTTTAAATTAAAATAATATCCTAAAGAAGGTATAATTGTAGTGAACACGACAGGTGGTACAGTTCCGGAAGAATATAACGCCAGAGACCTGAAGGAGGAAGACCTATCCAGAAGATCCAAGCATTGAAACCTCTAAAAGAGACATCTCTAATTATTTTTTTTTACGTATGAATTTTGGGTTATATATATATATTTTTTTTCCAAAGTTAATTTGCTTCTTTATATTGAATACAAATTTAAAATTTATAAAATTTTGAAATAAAAATAAAAGTTAATTTATTTCCCTATAAGAAATATAGATCTAAAACAAAAATTATAAAATTCTGAAGTAAAAATTAAAGTTAATTTATTTCCTTATTTTAAATATAAATTTAAAATTATAACTATCGAAATAAAGTAATACATAAATAAAGATATAGAAGTAAAACCACTGCACTTTGAATATTTTGGTCACAATCTATAAATTTATTGTGACGACTTTGGTGAGACTGAGCATACCTCAGCAAATAGGCAACGACCGGGAAAAGGGGTCGTTACAATTTGCACTTGCCTATTTACTTAACTAAAGCCTTAAATATTTTCTCACTGAAGCTAAGTTATTCTTAATATTATAACAACTACCATAACTATAAATATGCCAAGCAAATATATAAAAATTATTCAATATTCATTTAAGAAGATGTTAGGATTTTAATGTATTAGCTGGCAAATTTTGGGTCCTCATCATCCAAAAAGTATCCTTAACAATTTCGTATACTTCAACTTATGAAAATTCCCTTATGCAAATTAATAATAAAAAATTTTTTAATGTTTTTCAGGAATATTTGGTATTTTAATAAAATGTTGCTAAACACAAATTAACAAGAAAAAAACTTAATAAAGCAATATTGCGAGATATAAAAAATGTTGGTTTTCAGATTTCCACTTGTTTACGTTTTAAGCATGGAACCGAAGCACATTACACACCCGGAGGCAATTATTTTATGATGCACAAAGGTACAGTAAAAAGCAAAAGCTCCGAAATGAAATTATTATGATATGAAGCGTTGAAGTCTGCCAGTGGAGCAACTCGTAAAATGTATAACGCAAATATTAATGCAAAAAAGATTGTTCCTGTTCAATAAAAATATAAACAAAACAACAGATCCAACAGAACCAACAACAACATCCAAAATAAGGAGGGAAAAAAGCGAACGGCGAAATATGAAAAGAATATATCTTAAGGATATTGTACTTTAATGGTAGCTTATTGGTATTTATAAAAAAATATGCTCCAGCAAATTTAACCAAAGTAAAATATTCCCTCAAAATAATAAAGTTTCATTTTATAGCCAATCTTTCACGATTTGCCTGAAAGAAATATTTCAAACGTTTTCCAATAAGGATTCGGCGTGCATTCAAGTGCTTCCAATCACTGCATTTAGCTAATTCATTTTAAACAAAAATTGAAGTGGGCAACCTTTAAACAATAAATAAATTTGGGCAGATTTGATTTCTTGAAACTAAGCGAGCTTTCGACCTATCCACCTCAACCAACGAAGAAAAAATTTCCATTTTCTGCTTCAATCGAGTTTTGCCATTTTGAATGCGAACTCAGCAAATTTTGTCCAATTTATTTGATTTTTGATTCCAACAACTGCTTTCATTTTTATTGTAGGGCATCGTAGTTGCTTTGGAAGTGTTGTCTGGTTTTATTTGATCTAAATGTGACACTAAATTTTACACTTTGTTTTCATTGCAGGACAATAAAAGCACAAATTTTTGTGCTACCTCAGCGTTTGCTTATCATTTTGCAATTTTAAAATCAATGCGGGAATATGAAGAAACCCATTGTACACTACATTTTCAAACTGAACTCATTACAACCACTTCTCTGCCTGAACTCACTATGAAAAGTAAGTGAGGCAAAAAGGATACAAGCTTCTTTAGATTATCAGCGCATATAAATCTTTGGCAATGGTATTCACTTGAATGTAAGTTAAATGGGAACTCTTCTAAGGAAATGACTTCCAAAAATTGTATGTGCCCATTTATTTTACGCACTATTTTGCTTATTTACGACTGCCATGCATTTCTACACTTTTGTGTTTAAATGACAAAACTTTTCATATCCTTAACGGAACCGAAATCATGAATTTCTTAAGATTTTTTTCACTATCATAGCAGAATATCTGTCTGTCTGTCTAACTATGTTCGGAAACATTCATATATAAAATAACAGTTAAATAAAAATAATATGAAAGCATACCTAAGTTAGTAAATTCAACACCAATCCGACGATGGTCCATTTCTTTACATACCATTCCATAACAAAGTGACGCACCTATGGCATAATAATCTGAAGACGTTATCTTATAGCAAATTTAATTAGAATAATATAAGAATTGGATTGAGAGAAAAGGCAGATTTTCAGTTGCAATTTACTTGCAAGTGACAGCAAACGACTCTTCTTAAGTGGTCATTTGTATTCATTCAGTAGATGCAGCATATAAATTTAGATTTGTTTTAGTATATTCCACAGCCATAATAGAATAGAATTTTTAACTTACTATATAAGACAAAACTTTGAATCACAATAGATATTACGATTGACGGGTATGTTCCCTTAATCAAATCTGCTAAAATAAATATAACCGTAAAATGTTTATTCAATATCAGATATTTATCCAAATTAACAACAATAAAGTTTAGAATTAAAAAAAATACAAAACCGACTACATAACTTTTTCAATGCATATAACAATAATCAATAACCAATAATCTTATAGAAATAACTTAATACCAGAATAAGGTCTGGTATCTATTGGCTATGAAATATAGTCATTGTTAAATCTGTCCTCAGAAAAAACCGCGTCATTTTCGAACAATGTAACAAGTTTGGCCTCAAATATACTTTTGATTACTTCAAAGAGCCTTAATCAAGCATTCCATCAAAATACTCTTCAAATTCCAAAAAAAATCCTCTGCTAAGTGTTTATACTGTGGTCTTAAACAAATCTTTATATGTAATAAATAAATTAGAACAAATTATCCTTCGAAATTACAATAATCTGATCGACAAAGCCTTTAAAATACGTCTTGATTTACTTTACAATAATGAAATGCTGTAAAATATTATACTGATACCTTAAAATAGCAATTGAACCACAAAAGCAAATAGACATCCATTAGATCTTAAATCAATTTTTTCCAAATCACAACTAGTGTTCATGACTACGAACTAATGCTTTCACCCAATTATATTATATTTCCACATACTATATATTGTATGTAAACAGCAGAACAGTATTTACTTCTAGTTTATCAAGTTTCTGTTTTTACATTGTTCGATAAATGTCCTCTTCCGAGGCTAATGCGTGCGGAGATATTTTTGTGCGCATTTTAATGTTTAAATGCATAAAATTTACATTTCATATTTAGTAAATACGCCTGGAGGCCTTACACGAGGTACTGCGAACTCCAACGGTGGATTCCAAGTGACCAAAACTTAAAACATACAATGTCGTAGATAGAGTCAACAAATCACTACTAAATAATAACAACAACAACAACCAATTGAAAGTTGCATATAGAGAAAATCAGTGTCGGACTTAAATAATAAATTAACAGCAAACCTAAATCGTAATAGCTCCTTACAGTCATTTGAAGCAATGATAATGTTTTCGTACTATGTATTAAGTCCATTCAATTTAACAAATATCAACAGCAGAAGTATATTTTTCGAATTATTATAGATAAATTTATTTAATTTATTTGGCATTCATGAAGAATATACAAAAAAAATAGAAACATGCATTATTAAAATAAATAATTCAAGAAGAAACAATGAATTTTTAAGTTACACTTTAAACCTAAAATATGTTTAATAATTTTTAAATCTCTTTGAAACCGTGTCCCAGCTTAGTCCGCTACTGTCTTCAGAACCTACGTTGCGGCCTGAAGTGGCGTGGAAATACTTAAAATTTGCCAACTGCTTCGTCACAAACAATGGCAGTATTGCACACGCCGAGTTACGTACTTAATGCACTCACAAAGCGACAAAGCGACAAACCGACAAACGGACAAAAGGACGAACGCGATTTATCGTGCCAGATAAGCGATAATAAATTAATTAGAAATATTGAAATTGAGGCACAGGATATCGCCGTTTAATGGCAATGATT